GTATTGAGTATCCCAAGGACTGCAAAAAGAACAAACAAACAATACATTTTGGAGAAAGTGCAGCCAAAGTGCTCACTGGAGGTAAAGATAATGAAGCTTTGTCTCACATAGTTTGGGTATGTTGCTAAGATAGGTTATTTCTTGGAAAGGGACATCAAGCTTGCAAAGGTGGAGGGACAGCGACAGAGTGAAAGACCTTCAATCAAACAAACTGACACAGTGACTATAGCAATAGGCTCAAGTATGTTAGATCAAAAATGATAAGGATGGTACAGGATAGGACAGGGTTCAGATTTGTTGCTCAAGGGGTCGCTATGAGTCATATTCAACAACACATAACAAGATACTATTGGTGATTAGATCATTCTGCTTTTACATGGCTCTAAAGTCTATTTCATTTTCAATATTGAATAATAATGTCACTGAGCATAGAATTCTAAATGGCAGGGGTTTTATTAACTTAGTTTTTCTCAGTTGTTGTTGTTGTTGTTATGTGCCTTCGAGTCGCTTGCGACTCATAGCGACCCTATGTACAACAGCCCTAAACTCTGCTCTGTCCTGTGACAATCTCACTGTCTCCGACACACCCACCCTGATTATCCCAGTCACTGAATCAATCCCATTCATAGAGGGTCTTCCTTTCCTGCACTATCCCTCTACCCTCCCAAGCATGACATCCTTGTCCAAGGACTGGTCCCTCCTTGCAATATGTCCAAAGTAGCTGTCAGACGAAGCCTCAGAATCCTTGTCTCTAAGAAGCAGCCTGGTTTAACCCTCTCCAGTATGAAAATATTTGTTTTTTTAGCAGTCCACATTATATTCAATACTCTTCTCCAACACCACAGCTCAGAGACATCAATTCGTCCAGCCCTCTAATGTATAGCAAGTGATTGCAAAGACCATGGCCTATATCAGGAGCACCTTAGCCTCTAGAATGATACAATTGCTCTTCAATACTTTGGAGAGGTCCCTAACAGCAGACTTTCCCATCGCAATATGTCTTTAATTTCTTGGCTGCTGGTGCCAAGACTGCTGACTGTGGAACCAAGCAATCTAAAGCTGTTAACGATCTCAATATCTTCACCATTCATCCTGATGCTGCCAAATGGCCCAGTTAGAATAACCGGCCCTTAGCAAGAATGTTTTGATTGTGGAACAGACCACCAACTACTCATACGAAAGTTCAAGCTGAATAAAGGAAAATTCAATTGAACCCACGGGAACCAAAATATGACCTTGAGTCTATCCCCCCTGAATTTCAAAACCATCTCAGGAACAGGTTTAAGGCCTTAAACACCAATGAACAAAGACAAATGAGTTGTGGGAGGATATCAAGAGTACCCTCCAGGAAGAGTGCAAGAGATTATTACAAAGACAGAGGAGGAAGAAAAGACCAAAATGGATGTCAGAAGAGACTTTGAAAATTGCACTACAGCACCAAGAAGCAAAGCAGAGGGAAGAATTCAAGATATTAAAGATCTGAACAGAAAATTTCAAAGGGCAGCACGGGAAGACAAAGTAAAATATTATAATGAAATGTGGAAGGAGCTAGCCAGAAAATCAAAAGGCCCGAACTCGCTCAGGATTTCTTAAGCTCAAGGAAGTGAAGAATAAATTCAAATCTCAAGTTGCTATATTTAAGGATGCTTTGGGCAGAATAGTAAATGATCCAGGAAGTATTAAAAGAACATGGAAAGCATTTACAGAGTCATTGCACTGAAAGGAATTGGCAGACACAGAAGAATTTCATGAAACACCATATAAGCAAGAGCCTATGGTGATGAAGGAAGAAATTCAAACTGCTTTGAAGGAATTGGGGGGGAAAATAAGGTCCCAGGAATTGATTTTATATCAATTGACATATTTCAACTAACAGATGCTGCCCTAGATGTGCTCACTAAGTTGTGTCAAGAAATCTGGAGGACAATCATGTGGCCAACTGATTGGAAGAGATCTACATTTGTCCCCATTCCAAAAAAAGGTGATCCAACAGAGTGTGGAAATTATCGAACAATATCATTGATATCACATGCAAGCAAGATTCTGCTGAAGATTATCAAATAAATATTATCATTTATATTACTATATATTAATAGTACATATAAATTAACTTTTTAATATTTAAAAAATAATCCTGAGGTTCTGAGTTCTTCAGAATTTTGTTTTAAAAAAGTCATTGCTTAAAATGCATGCTTTGAATTAATTCTTCATTGAAATCTAGTCTGAATTGTATAATAAATAGTTTTTTCAGTGTTTGACAATTTGGTATTTGGTATTTTTCAACAGTGACTGGATTTTCAATCCCCTTTTGCCTCTAATTTAAATGCTGTGCATGTATCTCAAATGACTAACTTAAATTCTATCTTATCCATTAGACCTCCATTTACTTCAGTTTACTGCCCTTCTGCTAAATCCTAACACACTCATAGTAACCACTATGCAATACTGTAAATTATAAGTTCTGAGAATTCCTGTGTGTCATCCTCAATTAGATTGGTAAACTTCTGGGAGCTAAATCTAAGTTTAGCTTTTTTATTCCTTTTTAAAATTTCTTTTTGGTCCTCCAGAGAGGCTATAAATTATGAGCTCAGAGCATACAATATTAAAAAATACTAGGTGGGTGTCATAGCTTGGTCCATCTGTGTCCAACCAGTTTCTGTTCTGGAGTGGCCAATCCTTCTTCCCAGTATGTCATAATTTGAATGCTCAGATTTAAAACATTATCTGACAGACAAGAATTTTACAGAAAAGAGCAGATTAAAGATATTTCCCAATTGTAGAAATAACCAATAGTTTCAGTGTTGTCCCCACCCTATGGCACATGTGTCTTGACCCACCCCTTTCCCTACTTTACCAGTACTCACTTCTACTCCCACTTACTCCTTTCAACACCTATCTGCCCTATTCAGCCCTTGATGTGATGGCTTATATATCAATCTTTCCGGGCTTCTGTGATTCCAAATACCTCAAGCTTCTGCCAGTTTCTTCTGCTCTGGGCAGTCTCTCTTGAGTTTAGGAGTCTTGAATGTCTGCTCCAGAATTGACTTCTTGCGGCTTAAGGCCTCTTCTTCACTTATACTAAATTGTAGGTACAATGGAATAGTTTCCCAAGGGAAGGTGATGTATCCTATAGATTTGCGATATAATGTTGTCTTCCTGCCTCAAATCTGGAGGATAACCACCTGGCCAACTGACTCGAAGATATCTATATTTGTTCCCATTCCAAAGAAAGGTGATCCCACAGAGTGTGGAAATTATCAAACACTATCATTGATATCACATGCAAGCAAGATTCTGCTGAAAATTATCCAAAAATGACTGCAACAGCACATTAACAGAGAACTGCCTGAAGTGCAGGCTGGGTTTAGAAGAGGATGTGATACTAGCATATCATAGGTAATGTCAGATGGATCTTGACTGAAAGCAGAGAGTATCACAGGAATGTCTGTATTTCATTGCCTATGCAAAGGCATTTGACTATGTAGATCACAACAAACTGCGGCTGACTCTGAGAAGAATGGGAATCTCAGAACACTTGATTGTACTTATGTGAAACCTATCCTTAGACTAGGAGGCAGTCGTCAGAACAGAGCAAGGAAACACTGCATGGTTCAAAATTGGGAAAGGTGTGCACCAAGGATTTTTCTTATTTCCATACCTTTCCAATCTATATGCAGAATAGATTATCCAGGTGGCTAGGCTCTATGAGGAGAAGTGTTATGTCAGGATTGGAGGTAGACTCACCAACAATCTGCATTATGAAGATGACAATCCTGCTTGCTGAAACTGAGGAGGATCTAAAGGCCTTGACATGCAACGTCAAGAAAACAAAGATCCTCTTCTCCACTAGGCCAACTGGCAGCATAATGATAGATGGTGAAGAGACTGAGATTATTAACAGTTAAGTTTGCTTGGCTCTACAATCAACATTCTTGGTACCAGCAGCCAGGAAATTAAAAGATGAATTGCATTGGGAAAGTCTGCTGTCAGAGACCTCTCCAAAGTACTAAAGAGCAATGATGTCAGTCTGGAGATTAAAGTGTGCCTGATACAGGCCATGGTCTTTGCAATTAGTTTCTATGCATTGGAAAGCTGGACAATGACTAGAGATGATAGAGGGAGAACTGATGCCTTTGAGATGTGGTGCTGGAGAACAGCATTGAGTATGCCATGGACTCCTAAGGGAACAAACAGGTCCGTCTTGGGGAGGGTTAAACTAGGCTGCTCCTTGGAGGCAAGGAGTCTGAAGCTTTGTCCGACATACTTTGGACGTGTTGCAAGAAGGGACCAGCTCTTGGAGAGGGACGTCAGGCTTGGGAGAATGGAGGGACAGCGCAGGAGAGGAAGACCCTCGATGAGATGGAGTGATTCAGTAACTGGGGTAATGAACGTAGGTGTGTCAGAGGCAATAAGATTGGAGCAGTATAGAGCAGGGTTTAGGTCTGTTGTACAGAGGGTCGCTATGAGTTGCAGAAGTTTCTGTTGTGCCTTGGCATGTTTGTTTGTCTGGCGTTCCTTTGTACTAATTAACATTGTTTATGTTCTGTTAAATCAATAGGCTCTTTGGAAAAGCAATGTTAACCTAGCGTCTCTGAATCTGAATAAACGGCATCTGACCCACTATGAACGAATACTAAAGCTCTGATAGATCACTGGGGATCTAAAAGATATATATTTTATAATCTCACTCCAAAGTCTTCAGATACTTCCCAGTTACTCCGGCCTCTGCAGCTGCCGATGCTCAAAGGTGTTGAAAAGGCAGCGAGGATCTGCGATCCAGAGACCTGGTCGCTATGGTAACGGTAAAACTCAACAGCATTCACAAGACCTGGCGGAAAAGCTTAGCTTGAGGCGAAAGGATCGATTGGCGACTGCAGCGATTTGCGGCAGCGGCGTGACTTACGGCATATCGTTTCCCGGGAGAACGCCGTTGGTGGGCGGGGAGGGAATGCTAAGGCCTCTGCGCGCTACCGGGGGCCTTTGGGCGTCTGCTCCATAGCATGACCCAGTCTGTAGTCCTTCAGGGTAAGCTGCACCTGCAGACTGCGGACGTGACCACCCTGCAGCCGAAAGGCCTTATTTCCCGTCTAATGTCCATTCTCTCCCCTTCCTCTCCTGGTCGCAGTCGGACAATGCGGAAACCAGATCGGCTGCTGCTTCTGGGACCTGGCGCTAAGGGAGCATGCAGCGGTTAACCAGGTACCGGCTCCCGGAGCGACCCCACTCCCCGCCTGTCATAAGGGCTCCTTCAACGAATAAGGAAGAAAACCTCTATTTGAGCATTTATCTCAGGAGTGCCAACTGTGTGAGAGTCTTATTGTAAAGATAGTGCTGTTTAGACGTTTATTGCTGGCGTTAAACTAAAAAGAAACATTGGTGGTCGTCTTTTTCCTAATTCTGGGGTCCTGATCTTTACCAACGTTTTTGCAAAGATCAGTAAACTACTATACGTGAAAGTGCTTTATAAAAAAAGATAACACGCAAAGTTCATCTCACCAAGAATTCAGAGAAAAGTCTTTCGCTGCACCTGCTCTCCAGTCTTATGGGAAATTCTTTCCTTAACACCTTCTGAACTCACAGCATTTTTTCCCCTCTGTGAGGAGACTGGAAGAATCAGGAGAAGCATCTTGAAGCATAGGATTATTATTTTTTTTTTTTAAATCATAGCTATGTAGATGCTTGAGTAGTAGAATTCTTTCCTTTCAGGCCAGAGCCCAAGGCTGGATACCACTTAATGAGGGGGGACCACCAGCCTGCCAGTGGAATATTGTGTGTTAACAATGCTGAGCAGCTTTCAGCAGAGCTTCCAAGACCAAGACTAGGGAGAAAGAACCTGGCAATCTAATTCTAAAAATTAGCCCTGATAGCCTGAGACCACAGTGATCACAACCTGTTGTGCTGGAGGTTGTCTTCAGTCCTGCCAACAATTGGTGGCAGCTAACAACAACAAAACTATTTTTTTAAAAAGAAAGGGGGGGAAAGCCCCAACCAAATGCTGTTGCTTTGATTGTGACTCATGACAATTATATGTGTCATATCTTAGAACTGCTCCATTTCGATTTCCCCGCTGTGTGGAAGGTGGAGAGCCAGGCCTTCCACAAAACTGCTTGGTGGATTTCAATCAGTGTTTAGGTTAGCATCTAATTGCAAACCTTTTGCAACATCCGGGATCTGAAAAAAGCTGGAACAAAGAAATAGAAACCAAGCATGTTTCTATTGAGTTCTTTCTAACTCATAGTGTTCCTATAGAAGAGAGTACAGCTGCCCCATGACAGATCCAAGACTAAATCGCTATACATGTCTTTCTCCAAAAGAGCCACTGGTTGATTTGAACTGCCAGCCTTTCACTTAGAAACAGAGTGTTTCAACCACTATCCCCCTCCCCCCCAAGATTGTAAAAGCTATTGAAAGTGGAATATTCATGTTACAAGTGTGAGATATATATATATATAAATGGAATTGCTGAAACTATCAAATGGAATTTTTTTTTCTTCTTTTAGAAAGGAATTTATGATGAAGCAATAAGCAGCTTCTTTAGAAATGTGGATACCAGGTAAGAAGAAATTGAAATCTATTGAGAAGCGTAATGACCCTTTTTTTGCCAACAGAGAGTGCAGTCCTTTGTTGCAGACCGAGGGTAAAGTATTTCTATAATTATTTATAAGGAAACAGACTACCACAATGATATAGAACAGAGAGCGTGAAAAACAGGGCTAGCAGTTCTCCACTGAAGCCCCCAAGCAATGCTTCTCTGAGTATTTATTGAGAATCATAAGGAAGGTAAACAAAGTAAAATCATAAGGAAGTACAAAAAAAACCCAACGGATCATGGAGAAGTCTTTTGCAGATAAGGCCAAATTCCTCTTTATGCTTATCTCAGGAGGGGGGGATTCAGTTAATAAAAACTAAGAACAATGTTGACTCTTAGGGAATGCCTTAGTGCCACAAGGTAACCTTCAGCTTGTGTTAAGCCTCCCTTATATCCTGATACAGCATTTGGTTTATTATTAATATTAAATTTGATATTCAGCTTCCCTCAGTCATTAAATGCAAAGGGCAAGCAAAACAGTTGGTAACTTATGTTGTCATCTGGCTTTTTGTTTATTTCATTACTGAAAGCATCACCTGCAAAATAGGACAACCATTTTTCTGCTGAAACCATATTAAAACCTTTAGCATTTTTTTTCAAACTTGAAAGAATGTTTATTAGGAAAAATACTTAACAAAGCAAAGCTGCTTTGCAAAGGGAGCTATGGAGAGACAAAGTAATGCTAACCCATTGCTCACTGGACAGAGTTGTTCAAGTTAATACAGATATAGATGAGAAGGGGTTTCACGTTTATTTATAAGGGAAAGTGAGGAATTTCAGAAAATGGCTGGTATAGGAAAGGATATAGTAATTAAGCATGAGTGTAGCTGACTGTTCCATATGGTTGCTGTTGCAGAAGCTTCTAGGCTGAAAGACATCACTTATTATGGGATGGTACACAGGTGTTGTGTAGCAAAGTTCTCTGCTGTGATTCCTCTACCTGATGGATAGCTTTACTTCTTGCCTGAAAGGTCAGCTCTGGTCAGGTTGTGCATATGCTCTAGAAACTGATTTGAAGTGATGTCACTTGAGACCAGGTTTTCAGGATCTTAGCTCTAAATCTGAACATTCAGATTAAGACAGAGTAGGAAGAAGGATTGGCCACCCACTTCTGAAATAGCAGGCCTCTGAAAACCCTATGCACAACAGAACACACGCAGATTAACAAAAAGG